CACACAGACTACAAGACACACAGACTACAAGAACCACAGACTACAGGACACACAGCTACAAACTACAGGACACACAGATTACAGGACACACAGATTACAGGACACAGAGACTACAGGACACACAGACTACAAGACACACAGACTACAAGACACACAGACTACAGGACACAGAGACTACAGAACACACAGACAACAGAACACACAGACTACAAGACACACAGACTACAGGACACACAGCTACAAACTACAGGGCACACAGACTACAGGACACAGAGACTACAGAACACACAGACTACAGGACACATGTAGCCCTTTGTTTTCATAGTCATAGAATCAGTGTACAGTTATGGACAAAACTCCCTGGACACATTTGATCAATACCTGAGGACGACTGTGTTATGAACATCGATTTCCTCTCATGATTTTTATCTCTGTCTTCTGATATGTTTTGTGACGTGATATATGATGAAGCCTACCGTTCACCAGCTATATATATATATACCAACCACATATATGACTCACAAGTATGATATAATATATAATGAAATATAACCGTTCACTAGAAGTATATTGCCAAGTGTTCAGAATTTCGAACACAACTGTACAATTACAAATGGCACATCATCATTATCCTGTAAAAATTATGAAACGGACGAACATTTATGAATTACACACAGTGACATTATTACAGCAACTGGCCATCTGACAGTGTTGAACTAATGTGTTTAGTGAGAGAGAGAGTTTCCGAAGGGATTTTGCATCTTTGAAGTAAAACGTCTACCATCTCGCTTCCCCCTTCCCAAGCATCATCATCAGTACTCTCCCTTTTCGGCGGCCAGATGAGTGTCGTTACCTGGCCTGATGGAAGAGATATGAGAGGTAGAATAGTAGGAGGCCGGATAGATTGGCTTCCTTTGGATAGTGGGTAGGGAGAGATGCTGAGTGATAGATCGTGTGGTGGTTGTGGTAGGTGGTGGTGTGTGATGTGGTAGGTGGTGGTGTGTAATGTGGTAGTGTGTGATGTGTAGTGTGTGTGGTGTGGTAGTGGTGTGTGGGTGGTTGTGTAGGTGGTGGTGTGATGTGGTAGGTGTGTGATGTGGTAGGTGGTGGTGTGTGATGTAGGTGGTGGTGGTTGTGGTAGGTGGTGGTGTGTGGGGTTGTGGAGGTGGTGGTTGTGTGAGGTGGGTAGGTGGTGGTGTGTGTGTGGTTGTGGTGGTGTGTGGTGGTTGTGGTAGGTGGTGTGTGTGATGTGGTAGTGTGTGGTGGTGTGTGGTGGTAGGTGGTGGTGTGTGATGTGGTAGTGTGTGGTGGTGTGTGTGTGTGTGTGTGTGTGGGTGGTGGTGGTTGTGGTGTGTGATGTGGTGTGGTGGTGTGTGGTGGTTGTGGTAGGTGGTGGTGTGTGATGGTAGTGTGTGTGGTGTGGTAGGTGGTGGTGTGTGGTGGTTGTGGTAGGTGGTGTGTGTGATGTGGTAGGTGGTGTGTGATGTGGTAGGTGGTGTGTGGTGTGGGTGGTGGTGTGTTGTGGTAGGTGTGTGTGGTAGGTGGTGTGATGTGTAGTGTGTGGTGGTGTGGTAGGTGGTGGTGTGTATGTGGTAGTGGTGGGGTGTGTGGTAGGTGGTGTGATGTGGTAGTATGTGGTGGTGTGGTAGGTGGTGGTGTGTGGTGTGGTGGTGTGTGATGTAGGTGGTGTGATGTGGTGTGTGTGTGTGGTAGGTGGTGTGTGGTGGTTGTGCTAGGTGGTGGTGTGTGATGGTAGGTGTGTAATGTGGTGTGTGGTGGTGTGGTAGGTGTGTGATGTGTGGTGGTGTGGTGGGTGGTGGTGTGATGTGTAGGTGGTGGTGTGTGATGTGTGGTGGTGTGGTAGGTGGTGGTGTGTGTGGTTATGGTAGGTGGTGTGTGGTGATGTGGTGTGTGGTGTGTGTGATGTGGTGTGGGTAGGTGGTGGTGTGTGGTGTGTGATGATGTGGTGTGTGTTAATATATGGTGGTGTGTGGTAGTATGTGGTGGGTGTGTGGTGTTGGTGGTGCTGTGTGGCGGTGATGTAGTAGGTGGTGGTGGTGATGGTGGTGTGTGGTGGTATGGTGGTGTGTGATGTGGTATGTGGTGGTGTGTGTAGTGGTGTGGGCTGTGTGTGGTGGTGGTGTCTGGCGGTGGTGTGATCGTATAGTGATGAGGTATGTGGTGGTGGGATGTGGTGGCGGTGGTGGTGTGTGGTGGTGGTGGTGGTGTGTTGCATGATATGGTGTATGGTGATGTATGATGATGTGTGTATAGTGCTGTGTGGTGAGACAGATAATGAGGATGAAACGAAAGGAGAGAGAGAGAGAGAGAGAGAGAGAGAGAGAGAGAGAGAGAGAGGAGAGAGAGAGAGAGAGAGAGAGAGAGAGAGAGAGAGAGACTAGCAATACATGTAACCTACAATAGATCTCTCACTCGCTACTAGAATCATCTCACACGTCTCTCACTAATTAGAGAAATATTCACGACTTACCTTGATGAATGATCTGTCTCAAGCTGATTACAGTACACACACACACACACACACACACACACACACACACACACACTACATCATAACGCTGATATATACTGCTTCGTCAGACATCTTACAAGAGAAGGAGGAGCCCTTTCTAGTGAGAGGGATTGTGGTGGTGATGGTGACGATGGTGGTGGTGGTGATGGTGGTGGAGGTGATGAAGGTGGTGGTGATGGTGGTGGAGGTGATGAAGGTAGTGGTTTTGATGGTGGTAGTGGTGGTAACGATGGTGGTGGTGGTGATGGTGGAGGTGATGAAGGTAGTGGTGTTGATGGTGGTAGTGGTGGTAGTGGTGGTGACGATGGTGGTGGTGGTGGAGGTGATGAAGGTAGTGGTGATGGTGGTGGAGGTGATGAAGGTAGTGGTGACGATGGTGGTGGTGGTGGAGACTAATAGAGCCAACATGAACGCCGTGTTAACACAGATCCATTCCTCGTTAATCGCATCACACGCACACATACACACAGTGTGCGTGAATGGGAGAGACAGACAGACAGACAGACAGACAGACAGACAGACAGGAATTATGTGTAAACAGGTGTGTCCATTGTATCTCCTTTCCCCAGAATATGCTTATCAATATACTAAAATATATCATTAATTTATAAACAATAAAAAAAGTTCGTATTTACAGAGCTTCAGTTTCCACATGATTTATAGATAGGTTTGGTTTACACACACACACACACACACACACACACAGAGAACATACATCCCCTCACATAAGTGGTTTCACTCTGGTAAAACTGTACATAATTGCATCACCACATTCCTCACTGTACAGGGGGATGGTGAGCACAGATACATCCCATTCTTGACCCAAAAGGTTAATGGGGAAATTATATTATATAGCAGAGGGAAGACTCAGCCCTCACCCAGCCCTATAATCTACAAGTCCGGCACATAAAGGGGGTGGACAACCTGATTGCGGACTCCTTATCCCGAGTTCCAGTGGAAATGCAGCAGCTACTCTCCAGACGCACCAGGTGATCACCTCCTTCGCGCCCGCGCTATGGAGGTCTTTGGAGGGGGGGTGTGTTACGAACCACGCCACCAATTGTCATGATCTACCTACCCAGCACTACGAACCACGCCATCTATTGTCCTGATCTACCTTCCCAACACCACGAGCAACGCCATCTAGGGACGAAACCCGAGTATGACTACTCTTAGTTACCACTCCGGGGTTTCCCTTCTCCATATCCTGGTTGTTGCGTCACCTCCTCAAAGTCTTCCTGGTCAGCTCCAGTTCGATGAGAGGGCAATTTACTCTGGGAAGTGACCACAGGATCACCTATCCTGGAAACCTACGGCACAGTGACTACCTACCGTCTTCTACAATACTCAGCCTTACTCGTCAGCCATCTCAGCTCCGCACTTAAGTATTTGTTATCCTATATTGCCTCCCCGCGTCCACTTGCTTCAAAATTATTGTATGTTGTATAAATATGTATATACTGTTAATGTTTAGGTTAAGTATGGTTAAGGGTAAATTATAGAAAGCTGAATATTTTGTTAAGGAATTTATGGTACTTTATTATACACAACAAAAACTCGCATCCTTTGTCTACCCTTTTATAGTCCGATTGTCTTTGTTTTTTTATTGTTGTTGCCTGTTGGGATCTGGGTAGACTTTTAACTATATTCTAAATCCCCAACTCGTAACACCACCAATAACACTTATATGGAACAGATGATGTTATGCTGAGATCGTTAGTCTCATTAATAAACAAACCAAGAAATAATCATACAAATACAATTATTAGATACAAAACAGCCAGCTGGACATTAGTACATCACCGGAGCGAGTACACAAGTTTGGTGGCAACACAGGTTAGTGGTGAAGGTCTGTCTGGTCACTGCCCAAGTTGGTACGAGTCTGCCCGGGTCACCCCCACCCGTCGGCTTCTATACATCTTGGACAGAACAGGAGCTGCCCTGCCCACACCTAACCTAACCCAACCTAACCTAACCAAAGTAATCCTATGCTTACAAGATGTATAGTTCTGCAATATATATCGAGCATGAATTCACAGGTTACAGTACGCCAGGCAGCTGTGTTAGTGACCAGACACGTAGTGCAGCTGATCAGGTAATTGGTCGTTAAAGGTCATGAACGAGCACTTTTTCATGACGACTACACTGAATGATGATGATGATGATGATGATGATGATGTTGATAATAATAATAATAATAATAATAATAATAATAATAATAATAATAATAATAATAATAATAATAATAATAATAATAATAATAATAATAATAATAATAATAATAATTACCATGAATAATTTACAAGACGATAAGTCAACTTACAAAAAACAACTTCACCCTTAATCACCACCATCATTACAATAATCACTCCATTAACTCCTAATCAGCAACATGCTTTCCAGTAACACCCAGTCGTCACAGGTGTAGTAGATTCACAAGTGTCCGCCACAGGTATATATCTTCTTGTGAGAGCCGAGCCGAGACCCACATGTGTTCTGAGTGCAGTTTCCCATGTGTGGTGTTGTAGAAGAGGCGTGTAACGTGTGTGTTGACTCGCCTTCCTATACGTTGGTAAGTGAAATGATTTGTTGTAGGTGTGATTGTTGTTGATGGTTATATTGATGGATTGTTGTAGTTGTGGTTGTTGGTGTTGTTATATTGATGGAATGTTGTAGTTGTGGTTGTTGGTGTTGTTATATTGATGGATTGTTGTAGTTGTGGTTGTTGGTGTTGTTATATTGATGGATTGTTGTAGTTGTAGTGGTTGTTGGTGTTGTTATATTGATGGATTGTTGTAGTTGTAGTGGTTGTTGGTGTTGTTATATTGATGGATTGTTGTAGGTGTGATTGTTGTTGATGGTTACATTGATGGATTGTTGTAGTTGTGGTTGTTGGTGTTATATTGATGGATTGTTGTAGTTGTAGTGGTTGTTGGTGTTGTTATATTGATGGATTGTTGTAGTCGTGGTTGTTGGTGTTGTTATATTGATGGATTGTTGTAGTTGTGGTTGTTGGTGTTGTTATATTGATCGATTGTTGTGTTGTTGGTTGTTGGTGTTGTTATATTGATGGATTGTTGTAGTTGTAGTGGTTGTTGGTGTTGTTATATTGATGGATTGTTGTAGTTGTGGTTGTTGTTGTTATATTGATGGATTGTTGTAGTTGTGGTTGTTGGTGTTGTTATATTGATGGATTGTTGTAGTTGTAGTGGTTGTTGGTGTTGTCATATTGATGGATTGTTGTAGTTGTGGTTGTTGGTGTTGTTATATTGATGGATTGTTGTAGTTGTGGTTGTTGGTGTTGTTACATTGATGGATTGTTGTAGTTGTAGTGGTTGTTGGTGTTGTTATATTGATGGTTTGTTATAGTTGTGGTTGTTGTTGATGGGTGAATTTTTATTAATGGTTGGAATTGTGGTTGTTGCTTCGGTTATATTGATGAAATGTTGTGGTTGTTGCAGTAGTTTTATTGGTGGATTGTTATAGTTGTGGTTGTTGTAAAAGGGTGATTTTTGATGAATGGTTGAAGTTGTGGTTGTAGATGTGGATAAAGTGATGTAAAGATGAAGTGTTGTAATTATAGTCGTTGTTGTTGTTGTTGGGGTGATTATCGAAGTTGTGATTGATACGTGTTATTATTTAAGCATAGGGTAACTATCTATCTATCTATCTCACTTTCTTTTTTTCTCTTTCCCTGTCTCTCGTTTTCTCTCTTTCTCTCCCCTTTCTCTCTTTCTTTTCTTCTCTTTTTCTTTCGCTCACTTTCTTTCTCTCTCGCTAAGTTTAATGACTGTTGAAACCTGGCGGATTATAGTGAAGTTTCCGTAACCATGACAACATCTGGTCAACGCCTCACTAGATACAAGCTTCGAGTGGTACAGCGACTGAGGGTTCATAATAGTGGGCTTAACGCTGTACTTGTGGAAGGTACAGCCACAAACACTGTACTTGTGGAAGGTACAGCCACAAACACTGTACTTGTGGAAGATACAGCCACAAACTCTGTACTTGTGGAAGATACAGCCAAAAACACTGTACTTGTGGAAGATACAGCCACAAACACTGTACTTGTGGAAGATACAGCCACAAACACTGTACTTGTGGAAGATACAGCCAAAAACACTGTACTTGTGGAAGATACAGCCAAAAACACTGTACTTGTGGAAGATACAGCCAAAAACACTGTACTTGTGGAAGATACAGCCACAAACACTGTACTTGTGGAAGATACAGCCAAAAACACTGTACTTGTGGAAGATACAGCCACAAACACTGTACTTGTGGAAGATACAGCCACAAACACTGTACTTGTGGAAGATACAGGCACAAACACTGTACTTGTGGAAGATACAGCCACAAACACTGTACTTGTGGAAGATACAGGCACAGACGCTGTACTTGTGGAAGATACAGGCACAAACACTGTACTTGTGGAAGATACAGCCACAAACACTGTACTTGTGGAAGATACAGCCACAAACACTGTACTTGTGGAAGATACAGGCACAAACACTGTACTTGTGGAAGATACAGGCACAAACACTGTACTTGTGGAAGATACAGGCACAAACACTGTACTTGTGGAAGATACAGCCACAAACACTGTACTTGTGGAAGATACAGGCACAAACACTGTACTTGTGGAACAGCCACAAACACTGTGCTTGTGGAAGATACAGCCACAAACACTGTACTTGTGGAAGATACAGGCACAAACACTGTACTTGTGGAAGATACAGCCACAAACACTGTATTTGTGGAAGATACAGCCACAAACACTGTACTTGTGGAAGGTACAGACACAAACACTGTACTTGTGGAAGATACAGGCACAAACACTGTACTTGTGGAAGATACAGGCACAAACACTGTACTTGTGAAAGATACATTTATATATATACTTAATGTTGAGCTAAAGTTTTCCGCTATGTATTCAGCCAACTTGGGAAGATGGTTCTTTCTTAGACTGTACTTTTAATTAACGCCAGGCTAAATTGTTATATTATTATTATTATTATTATTATTATTATTATTATTATTATTATTATTACTAATTATTATTATCATTACTAATTATTATTATTATTATTTTTATTATTATTATAATTATAGTTTTTCTTACATTCCACGTCAGCACCTCGTGACTCACAGGTGTGCATCGCGTGTTCCTTGTACAGTTTTGGTTACGAGGAGGTGCTGTAATTTTATTCGTTAGCAGAGATAAAAATAGGTGAATTGGGAAATAAATTGTGACATACCTGTATATTAAATAATTATTATATTATATGTGCTGGTCCATAAAATCAAGAATTAAAGTTCAATAATTCCAATACTGAACAAACATTATGAAACGACAAAACTGACATAATAGCCGACATCTTCCCCTGTATAGTACTGTCAAAGTTAGGGGAGTCAGACCAAACTAGAGTGTGTTCAATCCTAGTTTGTAAATGACGCCTAGAACCGAGTATAAAAAGGCAGCTGATTGGCTGACAGGAAAACAGGCCAGGAAACATTCAAAGGTGATCTCTGTGTGATAAGTGTACAGTATGTGGCTGAACCTAACCTAACCATCATGTTTATGGTCTCTTTATGATAGTTTTTATCACTCGTGCGTTTCACAAACTATAATCACTCCTTCACCAAGTGCAGAAATGATCAGAAATTAACATAGGAAAGTTATTATCCCTTAAGATATTAAAATATAAGTTAGGGACAGTGTGGATACAGCACACTGTATACTAAGCCTTTGGTACACAAGGAGGCAGCATGGCCGGTACTGCTCTCACAGCCTTCACCTCCCCAGGTTGTAAACTTAGGTACCCATTTACAGCTGGGTGAACTGGGAGCGCTCAGGGATGAACCACCGACCCCTGGAACAGGGTGCGAGTGCTGTATCCACTGGACCACCACGCTCCCTAATATATAATAAGATAGAATAAATACTAAAGAACTATGGTAACCCTGAGAGTGTCCGTCTGCCAGCCAATCAGCTGCCTTGTTACAAATTGACCCTAGGCCTTAGTTGCAAGGTTCGAGGGAACAGACTATAGTGTTATAAGTAGTACAACGGTAGAATTAATACAGTACTCACCTCTTGTCCTCAGGGTCGCTGGTTCGATCCCGGGACACTGCCAGTCCATCCAGCTGTAAATACGTATATGACTTTAGATATGGAGAATTGAAGGTGGTCCAGCGCAGTGTCGGCTTCAAGTACAGTCCCCTTCACTAGTGCGTTTACAGGGGCTCATCAGGTTTTGTGCAGTGTGGCAACCCTGTGTTTGTTTACATTCGACAGAAGGAAACTCACAATAGTAAACATACTATGGATTAAAAGTAAAACAATGCTAAAACAAACATCTTAATGATAATGATTTGTGGAATGTTTATAATGAAGTAATCTCAATGTAATGATATATGGAATGTTTATAATGACGAGCCTCTGTAAATGCACAAGTGAAAGGGACTGTACACAATCACTTTCAGATGACAACAGCATTAACATCAGCTAACTTTATGTCATTGATTATAGCTTAAATGTGATATTCAACCTTACTTCTTTTGCAGGGAAATTAAAACAAGCGAACTGGCAACTAAAACTAAAAGAAAACAACCAGGCAGCTAAAACAAACAGCCAGACAGCTAAACAAACGACCAAGAAGCTAAAACATGGAACCAGGCAGCTAAGACATGGAACAAGACTGCTCAACAATCAACCAGACAGCCAAAACAAGGAACCAAAACTGCTAAACAAGCGACTAGATTGGCCAAAAAGCTAAAAACAATTGTCTAAAGAGTTGAAGCTAACACAAGCAATCAAGAGAATAAACAAACAAAACCAAGAGACCAAAATGCTAAATCAAGCTAAAACAAATCAAAACAAGTGACCAAGAAACTAACATTAATGACCATAAGCGAAACAAAGAGACCAGTAAGGTAAAACAAACCAAAACAAAGAAAACAAAGTTAAAACAAGCTAAAACAAGTAACCAGGGAGCTAAAACAAGATAAAAGTGGATGAAACCAAACAGCTAATGCGAATAACCAAACAGCTAAATCAAGGAACCAAACAGCTAAATCAAGGAACCAAACAGCTAAATCAAGTAACCAAACAGCTAAATGAAGTAACCAAGATGACCAGGTAAACTAACTCTTATCTCTCTTTCGCCGCCAAGTAAACTCTCTCTCTCTCTCTCTCTCTCGATCATATAAAATATCTCTCATCTCTCTCACTGCCAGGTAAACCATCTCTTATCTCCCCCCTCTCTCTATTTATTGTCTTTCTTCTGTATTATCCCTAGTCTCTCTCTCTCTCTCTATATATATATATATATATATATATATATATATATATATAGAGGGAAAGAAAACGCAGTTTCCCAGCGCCGTGTAATTACATCTTCAGGGGTGAGTATCTGTACTCACCCCTGAAGTAATACACACGCGCGCACCTACAGTGATTTATTGCATATATATATATATATATATATATATATATATATATATATATATATATATATATATATATATATATATATATATATATATATATATATATATATATATATATATATATACACTGGGATCAGCAGTGACATAAGCAAGTTTGCGGATGACACCAAAATAGGGCGGCAGATTAATTCAGGGCAGGATGCAAATGCATACAGGAGGATCTAAATAAACTGCAGAGGTGGTCTGAAAAATGGCAAATGAAATTCAACACCAGCAAATGCAGCGTACTTAATATTGGAAGAACAAATACTGTCAATGTATACAGTACAGCCTTAACAACATCAACCTAGAGAAGTCGACTTGTGAGAGACCTAGGGGTACTTGTAAGCCCGGACCTACGGCCTAGAAAACAGTGCGTTAATGTTCGAAATAAGGCAAACAGAGTATTGGGTTTTATATCTAGAAGTGTAAGTAATAAGAGTGCAGAGGTCTTATTGCAACTATATCTTGCGCTAGTCAGGCCGCACCTCGATTATGCGGTTCAGTTCTGGTGCCCCTATTATAGAATGGATATCAATTCACTAGAGTCGGTGCAGCGAAGAATGACGAAAATAATTCCGGGACTTAGAAACCTTCCATATCAAGATAGGTTAAAGAAACTAAACTTGCATTCCCTAGAAAGACGAAGAGTGCGGGGAGATATGATAGAAGTATTTAAGTGGGTGAAAGGAATCAATAAAGGGGATATAGATAAAGTTCTTATAATATCCGAGCAGGATAGGACTCGTAGCAACGGATTTAAGTTGGATAAGTTTAGGTTTAGGAGGGAGATAGGAAGGAACTGGTTCACAAATAGGGTGGTGGACGAGTGGAACAAGCTTAGCAACTTTGTAGTAAGTGCGGGAACGCTAGAAAGTTTCAAAAGGAGGCTGGATACATCCATGGATGATAGAGAGTGGTAGTAACTCTCGACAGGAGCTGCCATGCACAGGCCAACCGGCCTATTGCAGACTCCTTATTTTCTTATGTTCTTGTGTTAAGTAAATCACTGTGGGTGCGCGTGATCCAGGTATATGCTGATAACCACAAGGAAAGAAGAAAACACGAAGTTCCCAAGCGCTTTCGTGTAATTCACATTTTCAGGGGTGAGTGCAGACTAAGGAGAAGTACAAAACAAGGTGTATATATACAGAGGAGGGTGAGACCAGGTCCACAATGGTCAGGTATTAGGTAATGACCCTACTAATCTTCAAAAAGCAACGCAGCAGTCGGTAGTCAGGTCAGAGGGTAAGCTGATCCAACCTTCTCACCTGGTTACAAATCTTCTTAATTACGAAATTATCCAGTTTGTACAAGCCATTACTCAAATTCAAGTTGACGGATTCGGTATGTTTAATGAGACTAGATTCTATAATATTCCTACTGTCAATTGAATTACAAGGTAATATTGAGGAGGCATTATCCCAGTCAATGCAATGCTTGTTATCCCTCAAATGAACAAACAGAGCATTGGATTCCTTGGCCTGTCCGAACGCTATATTTATGTTGTTTAAGTCTAGTCATAAGATCTTTACCTGTCTGGTCTAAGTAAAACATATTACATTCCTTGCAAGGAACCTTGTAAATGCAGCCACCTGTATTGTTGGGGGAGGTTGTTGATTATATGTAGAAGTCCGCGTGCTTTATGGGCTAATGAAATATATATGGAACCTCGTGTTTCGAAGCCGGATTTGGTAAAACGTTACTCTGATCACCTAAGAGGCATGGGTATTCCCCAATTGGAGGTTCACGGCACCATAAGTTCGATGAACAGGCTTTGTGTGAAATATAACAAAGTCTAACAATGTTTTTAGTGTCCTGGTGGTCTACAGGTAGCGTTCCCCGGTCACACACATAAGATCGTGGGCTCGAGTCCTGGCGGGGTGAGGTTGTTGATTATATGTAGAAGTCCGTGCGCTTTATAGGCTAATGAAATATATATATATATATATATATATATATATATATATATATATATATATATATATATATATATATATATATATATATATATATATATATATATATTTTTTTTTTTTTTTCATGAGATCCACAAAGAAAACGTGGATAAGAAAAATCTTGATTAAATTACACAGGGAAAAGGGAAACAAGGGGAACAGCACATGTACAGTATCACAACAGTATCTGAAAGCAGTGCACTGTTCGTTCATGTTAGGAACAATAATCATCCCATAGATTGGGAAAACAGCTTAGAAGTGTACAAATCATCATGTGTCAGAGAAAGACTTCTGGTTGAAGCTAGTTTGATTAGGGAATTGAATTCTATAAACCTTAGTGATGGTCAGTACAAAACTGATATGTTACACAAATTTATTTGTCAGTGGCCCAAGGTTAAAAATGCTTTGAAAGCATTGAAGTTAGATGTAGTCTAGATGATTAGTGGGTCCCATATATTTTTGACCTGACTTAACTTACTAGTCACGTCACCCTTTCTCTTAAGCTCCTTTGCGTGTGTGGTGGTGTTGGTATTCGGATTAGTGGATGTCATGTTTATGACCTGACCTCGTGCTTAGTAAGGTCACCCTGTGTACTTAAGCCTCTCTCGGTCCATGTGTGTGTGACTGTGTGTCCATTGTCCGTCTGTCTGTGGTCTTATAATCTCCACACAGACACACGACCTTAACAGACACACTAACTTAAGTGTATTCATGACCCTAACAGACACACTAACTTAAGTGTATTCACGACCTTAACAGACACACTAACTAATGTGTATTCATGACCTAAACAGACACTTTAACTAGTCTGTGTTCTCCCCTGACAGACACACCATCACAGGGCCAGCAGTCATTGGCACTCTTAGCCTCATGAGTGTGTGTATCTTGGTGTTGACACTGAGTAACCAGGGGCTAAAGGTCGCTCTCTCACAGACCAACACAGACTACCAGGAGGAACTGAAGAGGAGGTAAGGAAGAGGAGGACGGGTGGCAGGGGAAGGAGGAGGAGGAGGTGAGGGGTTGGTAGAGAGGAGGAAGGGAGAGGAAGAGGTGAGGAGAAGGATGAGGGGAGAAGGGGTTAGAATTTTGATGGCGAGGAGGAAGGAAGTCAGGAATAAGAAGGACAGAAGGAAGTGGAGGTGAGAGGATGAGAATAACAGTGAGAGACATAAAGAAGAGGAGGAGGAGGAGGCGAAGGAGAAGATGGAAGAAAGGAAGAAGAAAGAAGAATAGAATGAGGAGGAAGAGGAGAAATAACACTTAATTACCTGGTAAATTATTATTATTATCATTGGTAGTAGTAGTAGTATACATTAATAACAGTGTCATTAGCTGTGTCATAAGTGTCATACAACTAACACATGACACCCTCTCCCCAGAGATGAGGTCCTTGATGAGTGTCATAAGAAGTACAAGGAAGAAGTTGAGAATGTCATAGGTGATGCTGTTAACAAAGTGAAGGTGGTGAGTGTGTGCGCGCTCTCTCTCTCTCTCTCTCTCTCTCTGTTAAATAGGGATAACTTCTAAGTATTATATCTCCTGTGGTAACTTCTGACTGGCTGGCTATACACGATCATGGAGACAAGATCAGTTCGTCGGTTTTTTTTAACAGAGTCTATTTTGTTTAGAGTTTCCTAGTAAAACATAATTGGTTGAAGGTTGAGAACAACGGTTAACAGTAGAAATGACTTATGGAATTAAACTACAATGTCTTGAGGTACTATTTGCATGGTACTGAACACAAAAGTGGAAACGATAATGCACAGAACCTAACCTAACAGAACCTAACCTAACAGATCCTATCTAACCAAACCTACGTAACCTTACTTAACTTAACGCGGAAAGAACTTAACTTTGATATCGATACCAATAAAAGCAAAACTCCCTAGCAAGGAAACGCATATTTCTTCTTCACTGTCAGTTCTCTACCGCATTTTGAACACTTGCTCGTCTTGCCTACTAGTCTATGTTAACAGATGAACTATTGGAGACAGTCTTCATCCTCCACAAGCACAGAGAATATGTGAAACAATAATGAACAACCCGCACAGGACGCCATAACAACGTACTCAAATTCAAGATGGTGAGCTTGTCTTGTCTCTGACTTAAGAGTCGGGATAAAATCCAACTATATAATTCTCATCATTTATATATACATTACGTTTAAGAACCTATTGTGCCAAAAGACAAAAATAAGGAATTTGCGCACCCCATCGACTCACGAATCTCAAAACTGAAGCCTGTCGTTTACTTACAATTTACAGGAGACCGGATACAGAATTTATTAGTTTAACCGTGTACGTAAGCAAACCGCGTCACGGGAGATTTATCACAGGAATATTTACGGTAAATAATTAATTTCTTCGCGTGCACATGAAATTAGTGTCATATTATCAGTTTTCCGTCGCTTTTTACCCCGTAATTTCCCTCATCCTCCATACCCTACCCACTAAAGGTGATATATGATCATAGAAGGAAAAAAAAAAGAAAGAAAGTTGTATCGCTTTTATTTAATATCACCCCAAAAACAACAATTGAAAAAATATGAACGAATTATACCTTGAATTTATATCAACATTACTATTTAAAATCTACAATCACCTATAATGCTGCGTAAACATTATCAGGCGAGAGGAACGGAATGTGTACACCTGTTTCAGAGTAGAGCCGCCTGTTGAGCTGCTACCAATGTTAGCTGAAATAAACGTCTTAAAGTCAGGTATTTTGTGTAGGTTTTAAGTCTCTGGTCCCAGGTCTAATCGTCCCCATTGAAGAACGATATATACAGCAAAAAATATATAATTATCCCAGCCTCTACTGTCCACTGTCTGTTGGTCCGTGAAGACGAATGGTTACATATAAAGCCAAGCCTAACCTAATCTACCCTACCCTAACCAAGCCAAGCCAAGCCAAGTCAAGCCAAGCCAAACGAAACGAAACGAACCAGACCTAACCTAACAAAGTTTACATATAATTGGCTATCGTATGGTGATAAAAGACGTCTTAAATGAACTAGACCACCAAAGAAATACCATCCATTAAGTGGTGACAATAAAATAAAAAGGCCAATAAATTCTCGAAGCTTAGACAGTGATTATCTCAACTGAGCGTGACGTATATATATCATCCTCTCTCTCTCTCTCTCTCTCTCTCTCTCTCTCTCTCTCTCTCTCCCTGTCTCTCTCTCTCTCTCTGTTACTCTCTCTCTCTCTCTGTTACTCTCTCTCTCTCTGTTACTCTCTCTCTCTCTCTCTCTCTCTGTTTCTTATACACCCACTCACTCTCTCTCTGCCTCTTATACACTCTCTCTCTCTCTCTCTCTCTCTCTCTCTCTCTCTCTCTCTCATTTCTTCTGCTTAGTTTAATGACTGTAATAACTAATTGAAATTCCTTCACTAATTCTCAATTATCTCTCACTTTCTCTCATAATTTTTCTCATGTTTCTCACTACAGCTACAGCAGGAGTTAAGTGGCCAGAGGGAACTGACGAAGGGATTCAAATTGACCGCTGATGAGTTAGAGGTAAGACATATTGTTCCTCACCACTGTGCTCCTCACCACCATGTTCCTCACCACTGTGTTCCTCACCACTGTGTTCCTCACCACCGTGTTCCTCACCACCGTGTTCCTCACCACTGTGTTCCTCACCACCGTGTTCCTCACCACCGTGTTTGTTCCTGGTGTTCCTCACCACTGTGTGCTGTGCTCACCACCGTGTCACTATGTCCTCACCACTGTGTTCCTCACCACCGTGTGCACACACACTCACCACCCGTGTTCCTCACCACCGTGTTCCCACCGTGTTTCACCACTGTTCCTCACCACTGTCCTCACCACTCACCACCCTCACCACCTCACTCACCACCGTGTTCCTCACCACCGTGTTCACCACGTGTGTTCCTCACCACTGTGTTCCTCACCACTGTGTTCTCACCACCTCACCGTGTTCCTCACCACCGTGTTCCTCACCACTGTGTACCGTGTTCACTCACCACTGTGTGTGTTCCCACCACCACTCACCGTGTTCCTCACACCGTGTTCCTCACACTCACCACTGTCCTCACACCGTGCCACCCTGTGTTCCTCACCACCGTGTTCCTCACCACCGTGTTCCTCACCACCGTGTTCCCACCACTCACCCGTGTTCCTCACCACTGTGTTCCTCACCACCGTGTTCCTGTTCCTCACCACCGTGTTCCTCACCACCGTGTTCCCACTACCGTGTTCCTCACCACCGTGTTCCTCACCACTGTGCTCCTCACTACCGTGTTCTTCACCACTGTGTTCCTCACCACTGTGTTCCTCACCACCGTGTTCCTCATGTTCCTCACCACCGTGTGTTCCTCACCACCGTGTTCACCATCGTGTTCCCACCACTCCCCACCACCGTGTTCCTCCCACACGTGTTCCACTGTGTTCCCACCACCGTGTTCCTCACCACTCGTGTTCCTCACCACTGTTCCTCCACCACTGTGTTCCTCACCACCGTGTTCCTCACCACTGTGTTCCTCACCACCGTGTTCCTCACCACCGTGTTCCTCACCACCGTGTTCCTCACCACCGTGTTCCTCACCCACCCGTGTTCCTCACCACCGTGTTCCTCACCGTGTTCCTCACCGTGTTCCTCACCACCGTGTTCCTCACCACCGTGTTCCTCACCATCGTGTTCCTCACCACCGTTTTCCTCACCACCGTGTTCCTCACCACCGTGTTCCTCACCATCCTGATCTCACCCGTGTTCCTCACCACCGTGTTCCTCACCACTGTGTTCCTCACCACCGTGTTCCTCACCACTGTGTTCCTCACCACCGTGTTCCTCACCACCGTGTTCATGTGTCCTCACCACCGTGTTCCTCACCACCGTCCTCACCACCGTCTCACCACTGTGTTCCTCACCACCGTGTTCCTCACCACTGTGTTCCTCACCACCGTGTTCCTCACCACCGTGTTCCTCACCATCGTGTTCCTCACCACCGTGTTCCTCGTGTTCCTCACCATCGTGTTCCTCACCACTGTTTCCTCACCACCGTGTTCCCTCACCATCGTGTTCCTCACCACTGTTCCTCACCACCGTGTTCCTCACCACCGTGTTCCTCACCACCGTGTTTCACCACCGTGTTCACCACCGTGTTCCTCACCACTGTGTTCCTCACCACCGTGTTCCTCACCACTGTGTTCCCACCACCGTGTTCCTCACCACTGTGTTCCTCACCACCGTGTTCCTCACCACCGTGTTCCTCACCACTGTGCTCCTCACTACCGTGTTCTTCACCACTGTGTTCCTCACCATCGTGTTCCTCACCACCGTGTTCCTCACACTCCTCACCACTGTGTGTCACCACCATCGTGTTCCTCACCACCGTGTTCCTCACCACCGTGTTCCTCACCACTGTGTTCCTCACCACCGTGTTCCTCACCACTGTGTTCCTCACCACCGTGTTCCTCACCCATATATTTCTCACTATACAATTATATATCACTGTTGACTGACTCTCTTGTGTATATATATAGATATATAATTCCCTTATGTTTGTTGTTTAGTTCATATATCTATCTATCTATCTATCTATCTATCTATCTATCTATCTAACTATCTATCTATCTATCTATCTATCTATCTATCGACATCAGAGTGGGTAGTATCTTAGTCATCCTTCACTACATCAACGTGTCTTGAGATAATGTTAGTTACCTCTACAATAAAGTCCAAACTGTAATATATTATTTTCAACCTTCTGGAGTGTCCGGCATTCCACATCAAACAAACAGACGCAGAAAACAGATCAATATTATGTATACATGCGATGGATTAAAAGTAAAACAATGCTAAAACAAATATCTCAATGTAATGGTTTATGGAATGTTTATAATGAAGTAATCTCAATGTAATGATATATGGAATGTTTATAATGACGAGCCTCTGTAAACGCACTAGTGAAGGGGACTGTACATTACAATATCCCTCTACATAATTATTCCACCGTGTTCAACTCGACCGTAAATAACCGACTATGGTATATTCTTTACAAAGTTCATAATCAAAGATGTTTTTCGACGGAAGGAGAGATACGCGTCTTTTATTTTACCGAACAATAATTTCTATACCAAACTCTCTTACACTTGATGTTTGTTATGACTCGTGGGAGTATGTTAGTGTTATGTTATGCTTCTGTTGGCTAAGTCGATATAGGAGAGAGGTCTAGGTATCGTTGAGGAGGAGGAGGACATGAGAGAGGAGAAGGAGGAGGAGGAGGAGGAGGAGTAGTTGAGTTTGAGAGAGGAGCAGGAAGACTTGAGAAGAGAGGAGGAGGAGGAGGAGGAGGAGGAGGAAGAAGAGTAGGACGAATTGAGAGAGGAGGAGCAGGAAAACTTCAAAGAGGAGGAAGACTTGAGAGAGAAAGAGGAGAAGAAGTACTTGAAAAAGGAGGAGGAAAACTTGATTGAGAGAGAGGTAATAGTCCCCAGGTTATTTCAACTCATAAACAAACACCCTAACTCTACTTGGGGGAAGGGGGGGGTTTGGGTTGGGTTGGGTTGGGTTAGGTTAGGTTAGGTTAATTTAAGTCAGATTACGTTAGGTTAGGTTAGGTTAGCGTGCTTAATGATCAGGTGAAGTAAGTTGGAGTGCCTAAAATTATGGTGATCCCTGGCCATTCAAGGAGTCATGTTGGGTCAGGGATAGGCTGGTTGAGGTCAGGGACAGGCTGGGTGGGGTGAGAGACAGGCTGGGTGGGGTGAGAGACAGGCTGGCTGGGGTGAGGGACAGGCTGGGTGGGGTGAGGGACAGGCTGGATGGGGTGAGGACGGAGCTGGATGGGGTGTGAGGGACAGGCTGGCTGAAGGTGAGGACAGGCTGAAAGCTGGGGGTGAGGGGACAGGCTGGCTGGGGTGAGGACGGAAGCGATGAGGGACAGGCTGAGACAGGGTGATGCAGCTGGTGGGGTGGGACCAATTTAATATGTGGGGTGAGGGACAGGCTGGAATGTGGGGTGAGGGGACAGGCTACAGCTGGCTGGGGGTGAGGCAGGCTGGGGGTGAGACAGGCTGGGTGGGTTGGGGACAGGCTGGGTGGGTTGGGACAGGCTGGGTGGGGTGAGGACAACAGGGTTCAGAGACAGAAATGGGAAGGGCAGGAACTGAGTGAGGGGGTAGGGCAAGACTATGAGGTGTGATGGGGGTGGAGCAAGACTGAGGTGGGGATGGGAGTAGGGGCAAGACAGAAGGTGGGGGGAGAGGCCAAGGGCAAGACTGAGGTGAGGGGGAGGGGGGTAGGGCAAGACTGAGATGAGGGAGAGGGGGGTAGGGCCAGACTGAGGTGAGGAGGAAGAGGGGGTTAGGCCAGCTTGAGGTGAGGGTGAGGGGGGTAGTGCCAGACTGAAGTGAGGGGGAGCGGGTATAAATGCAACACGTAAAGTTATCACCACGAACTTTAACCTCCCATTTTTAATATTTTTTTTTCTGTCTTGTTATTAACTCGTTCAGGTTCAAACATTAATTCCCTGAAGGATTATACGAAAAAAAAATTGTGAGAAATAATCGGTCATCAACTGCTGTAAATGAACAACTGCTTGGCGTGCCTGTCTGGGTGCAATGAGACGACCTCACCTAGCCAGAGCGGGCCGAGGGTGTTGCTGGAGAATTTGACTGTAGCAAACATCATCAGTTCAGACAGGAGAGACGTTCATAGAGCTGACTCATGCACCTACTGTAAATAAAGTCTCTTGCCCCTCCCTCCACCACAGGAGCAGAAGAAGATACTGGCATCTGTCGAGAGGAAGAACAAAGAGCTTCACCGATATCTGGACGACGCCTCACGCACTCTCATCGAGCTTAGATCAACAAAATCTACCCTCATGCACCAGCTGAAACTCATACAGGATAAACAGTATAAATCTGAGACAACCAAGGATAAGGTAGAATACGGGGCAGCAGAAGCTAAGGAACTGGCAAATAACGCCCACAGGGAAGCGGCACAAGCAAGAGAACACGTGGCTAAACTACAGATCAACTTTATTAATGCCCTGAATGAGGCGAGTGCACTAAGAGCCGAAATAGCCAGAGTTGCTGCTGCTGGAAAGAAAGCTTAAAGTATAACCTGAGGCAGCTGAGACACTCACAGCTTAAAGGTCATTAAACTCTCAAACTCTATATCTTTCTCTTGACTTCTTTAACACGTAGTTATGCTTAACTTTAATCTAATCTAATCTAATCTAATTTAATCTAATCTAATCTAACCTAAGAAACTTAACATAGAGAAAACTTAGCGTAGAAAAAACAGAAAATCTTAAGACCAAACAATCTTCAAACTTAACACAAACAATCAACAAACTTAACACAAACAATCAACAAACTTAACACAAACAAACAACAAACTTAACATAAACAATCAACACACTTAACACAAACAATCAATAAACTTAACATAAACAATCAACAAACTTAACACAAACAAACAACAAACTTAACACAAACAATCAACAAACTTAACACAAACAATCAACAAACTTAACACAAACAATCAACAAACTTAACACAAACAATCAACAAACTTAACACAAACACTCAACAAACTTAACACAAACACTCAACAAACTTAACACAAACAATCAACAAACTTAACACAAACAAACAACAAACTTAACACAAACAATCAACAAACTTAACACAAACAAACAACAAACTTAACACAAACAATCAACAAACTTAACACAAACAAACAACAAACTTAACACAAACAAACAACAAACTTAACACAAACAATCAACAAACTTAACACAAACAATCAACAAACTTAACACAAACAAACAACAAACTTAACACAAACAAACAACAAACTTAACACAAACAATCAATAAACTTAACACAAACAATCAACAAACTTAACACAAACAATCAACAAACTTAACACAAACAAACAACAAACTTAACACAAACAATCAACAAACTTAACACAAACAAACAACAAACTTAACACAAACAATCAACAAACTTAACACAAACACTCAACAAACTTAACACAAACAATCAACAAACTTACTAATATAGTTCAGGAAAGACGGGAGGTAGAGAACAGAATTTCCTCTCGTTCTCTCAGTCAGCCAGCCAATCAGTTCATTAGTTAGTTAGTCAGTCAGTCAATTAGTCAGCTAGTCAGTTAATTAGTCAGTCAGTCAGCCAGTGAGTCAGTCAATCAATTAGTCAGCTAGTCAGTTAGTCAATTAGTGAGCCAGTCAGTTAGTCAGCCAGTCAGTCATTCAGCCAGCCAGTCAGTCAGCCAGTGAGTAAGTCAGTCAATCAGCTAGTCAGTTAATCAGTCAGTCAGTCAGTCAGTTAGTTAATAAAACAACCAATCAGTAAAGACATTCATAGAGCTGACTAACATCTAATTCCCTCAGGCCAAGCGGAAGAAAACCGAAGTTCTCAAGCTGGAGAATAAAGGCTTGGAACAGCGCTTCGAAGTAGCCCTGAAACGCATCAAGGCACTGGATACTTCAGAAGCCAAACTCAAAGCCCAGATAAAGGAAGTGTCTAAACAAGAGATACTGGATATAGAAGACACCAAAGACGCCAAAAGAGTTCGATATATAGCCAAGGATATGAAGAGACGAGCTCAAAAAGAGGCCAATAGAATCAACGAAGAGACGGCGAAAGTAGAGTTAGATATGATCAAAGCGCAAAACGAGGTGGCTCAGTTACGAGTTGAATTTGCTAAATTAGTTGGTGGTGTTCGTGATGGTGGTGTTGGTGGGGGTGGTGTTGGAGGTGGTGTTGGTGGGGGTGGTGTACTTCCAGGAGTATAGAGTAGAAGCACAGTATAAACAGATATCCATAGCTCTCTCTCTCTCTCTCTCTCTCTCTCTCTCTCTCTCTTTTATTTTATTGCATTACCACCTGTTTTTATTGCCTCGTGTGCTGTTCACCATCTTTATTTTGGTCTTTTTTTCCGTCTCGTTTTTATTTACACTAGAAATTGTGAAAAAGGTAGGTTACAGTTTAATTAAATATATTTATTTAACTATATACTGCATCTATTAGTCATAAGATAAATATTATAAATAAACTTGTCGTGTGTGTCTTTATTATAAGTTTAAATAACAAACTTAGGGGAGTAAAATCTAAAAAAGTTTTCCCTTACAAGTGAAACGTTAATCAAGGTCATACTCTGGTGTTTTTGTTTACCAGCTGTTGTCTCAGGAGGATAACTTGATGTAATTTAAGTGTTATTGCTCTGACTATTATTTCTGTAAGAGATGTAACCTGAATAAGCTTAATTTTATTTTGTTTTTGTATTATAGCAAAAAAAAATCCATAGAAATAGATATATATAACATTGAACCTATGCAGATATAATTAGGCAAGCTTTCCTGGATTCGAACTCTCGTATCTGAGAACACAACTCCCTGGTTTTAAAAACTAGACTAAACAATAATTACAAACTGTAAATATATTCTGTCCAATAGGTTTAATGATTTAATTAAAGACTTAAATGTTCGTTTATTGTTATTATACCGTATGTACTTTACGCCTCTTTATTCTTACTAAAGATATTGTGAATAGATTTAATTTCATGGCCTGGTGTTAAAACATATTACTAACCTAATTAAAAATAACTTAATCTAACCTAACCTAATCTAACTTAACCAAACCTATTCTAATTGAATGTAACGCAACCTAACCTAACCCAGTATAACGTAACGTAACGTCTGATAAAGACATTGACACATCAGCAGAAGGAGGGACCAGCAGGAAGGAGGTGGAGGACCAGCAGGAAGGAAGGTGGAGACCAGCAGGAGGAGGGGGAGGAAGGAGGTGGAGGGACCAGCAGGAAGGAGGTGGGACCAGCAGGAGGGGTGGGGGACCAGCAGGAAGGAGGTGGAGGACCAGCAGGAAGAGGTGGAGGACCAGCAGGAAGGAGTGGAGGACCAGCAGGAAGGTGGGAGGACCAGCAGGAAGGGGGAGGTGGAGGACCAGCAGGGAAGAAGGTGGAGGACCAGCAGGAAGGGGTGGAGGACCAGCAGGAAGGGGAGGTGGGAGGACCAGCAGGAAGAGGTGGAGGACCAGCAGGAAGGAGGTGGGAGGACCAGCAGGAAGGAGTGGAGGACCAGCAGGAGGTGGAGGACCAGCAGGAGAGGGGTGGAGGACCAGCAGGGAGGAGGTGGAGGACCAGCAGGAGGGGTGGAGGACCAGCAGGAGGGAGGTGGAGGACCAGCAGGAAGGGTGGGAGGACCAGCAGGAGAGGTGGGGGACCAGCAGGAGAGGGGTGGAGGACCAGCAGGAAGGAGGTGGAGGACCAGCAGGAAGAAGGTGGAGGACCAGCAGGAGGGGTGGGGACCAGCAGGAGAGGGGTGGAGGACCAGCAGGAAGAGGTGGAGGACCAGCAGGAGGGAGGTGGGGGACCAGGGGAGGGGTGGAGGACCAGCAGGAAGGAGGTGGAGGACCGCAGGAGGTGGAGGACAGGAGGAGGTGGAGGACCAGCAGGAGGGTGGAGGACCAGCAGGAGGAGGTGGGGGACCAGCAGGAGAGGGGTGGAGGACAGGAGAAGGTGGAGGACCAGCAGGAGGGAGGTGGGGACCAGGAGAGGTGGAGGACCAGCAGGGAGGCAGTGGGAGACCAGCAGGAGGAGGGTGGAGGACCAGCAGGAAGGAGGTGGAGGACCAGCAGGAAGGAGTGGAGGACCAGCAGGAAGGAGGTGGAGGACCAGCAGGAGAGAGGTGGAGGGCCAGGAAGGAGTGGAGGACCAGCAGGAGGTGGAGGACCAGCAGGAAGAAGGTGGAGGACCAGCAGGAAGGAGTGGAGGACCAGCAGGAGGGGTGGAGGCCCAGGGAGAGGGGTGGAGGACCAGCAGGAGGGAGGTGGAGCAGGAGAGGTGGAGGACAGCAGGAGGGAGGTGGAGGACCAGCAGGAGGGAGGTGGGGACCAGCAGGAGGGAGGGAGGACCAGCAGGAGGGGAGGTGGAGGACCAGCAGGAGGGAGGTGGAGGACCAGCAGGAGGGAGGGTGGAGGACCAGCAGGAGGGAGTGGAGGACCAGCAGGAGGGAGGTGGAGGACCAGCAGGGAGGAGGTGAGGACCAGCAGGGGAGGTGGGAGGAGAGGGGTGGAGGCAGGGGGAGGTGGGGGACCAGCAGGAGGGAGGGTGGGGGACCAGCAGGGAGGTGGAGGAGAGGATGGAGGACCAGCAGGAGGGAGGTGGGGACCAGCAGGAGGGAGGTGGGAGGACCAGCAGGAGGGAGGTGGGGACCAGCAGGAGGGGAGGTGGAGGACCAGCAGGAGGAGGTACCAGCAGGAGGGAGGGTGGGGGGGACCAGCAGGGAGTGGGAGGTGGGGACCAGCAGGAGGGGAGGTGGAGGACCAGCAGGAGGGAGGTGGAGGACCAGCAGGAGGGAGGTGGAGGACCAGCAGGAGGGAGGTGGAGGACCAGTGGAGGAAGGGGTGGGAGGACCAGCAGGAGGGGAGGTGGAGGACCAGCAGGAGGGAGGTGGAGGACCAGCAGGAGAGGTGGAGACCAGCAGGAGGGAGGTGGGGGACCAGCAGGAGGGAGGTGGGGGACCAGCAGGGAGGGAGGTGGAGGACCAGCAGGAGGAGGTGGAGGGACCAGGGAGGAGGGAGGTGGAGACCAGGAGGGAGGTGGAGGGACCAGCAGGAGGAGGTGGAGGACCAGCAGGAGGGAGGTGGGAGGACCAGCAGGAGAGAGGGGAGGACCAGGGAGGGGAGGTGGAGGACCAGCAGGAGGAGGTGGAGACCAGCAGAGGGGGTGGAGGACCAGCAGGAGGGGAGGTGGAGGACCAGCAGGAGGGAGGTGGAGGACCAGCAGGAGGTGAGGACCAGCAGAGGTGGTGGGGACCAGCAGGAGGGGAGGTGGAGGACCAGGAGGGGGACAGAGGAGGGAGGGGACCAGCAGGAGTGGGGTGGGGGACCAGCAGGGGGGAGGTGGAGGACCAGCAGGGAGGGGGTGGGGACCACAGGAGGGAGGTGGAGGACCAGCGGGAAGGAGGTGGAGGACCAGCAGGAGGGAGGTGTGGAGGACCAGCAGGAGGGAGGTGGAGGACCAGCAGGAGGGAGGGGGGACCAGCAGGAGGGAGGTGGGGACGGCAGGAGGAGGTGGGGACCAGCAGGAGGAGGTGGAGGACCAGCAGGAGGTGGAGACCAGCAGGAGGGAGGTGGAGGACCAGCAGGAGAGGGGAGGGCCAGCAGGAGGGAGGTGGAGGACCAGCAGGAGGGGAGGTGGAGGACCAGCAGGAGGGAGGTGGGGGACCAGCAGGAGAGAGGTGGAGGACCACAGGAGGGAGGTGGGGACCAGCAGGAGAGAGGTGGAGGACCAGCAGGAGGGAGGGAGGAGGGGGGACCAGCAGGGGAGGTGGGGGACAGCAGGGGAGGGGAGCAGGGGGAGGTGGACAGCAGGAGGAGGTGGGGGACCAGCAGAGGGGAGGTGGGGACCAGCAGGAGGGAGGTGGAGGACCAGCAGGGGGAGGTGGAGGACCAGCAGGAGGGAGGGGGGAGAATGCAGGAGGGAGGTGGGGGACCAGGAGGAGGTGGAGGACCAGCAGGAGGGGAGGGGGGACCAGCAGGAGGGAGGTGGAGGACCAGCAGGGAGGGAGGTGGGGACCAGCAGGAGGGAGGTGGAGGACCAGCAGGAGGGAGGTGGGGACCAGCAGGAGGGGAGGACAGCAGGAGGGAGGTGGAGGACCAGCAGGAGGGAGGTGGAGGACCAGCAGGAGGGAGGTGGGGACCAGAGGAGTGGAGGGCCAGCAGGAGGGAGGTGGGGACCAGCAGGAGGGAGGGTGGAGGACCAGAGGGAGGAGGACCAGCAGGAGGAGGTGGGGGACCAGCAGGAGGGAGGTGGGGGACCAGCAGGAGGGAGGGGTGGGGGACCAGCAGGAGGGAGGAGGACCAGCAGGAGGGAGGTGGAGGACCAGCAGGAGAGGGTGGAGGACCAGCAGGAGGGAGGTGGGGACCGCAGGAGGGAGGTGGGGACCAGCAGGAGGGAGGTGGAGGACCAGCAGGAGGGAGGTGGGGGACCAGCAGGGAGGGGGTGGAGGACCAGAGGGAGGGGTGGGGGGGACCAGCAGGGAGGAGGTGGAGGACCAGCAGGAGGGAGGTGGAGGACCAGCAGGAGGGAGGTGGGGACCAGCAGGAGGGATGGGGACCACAGGAGGGAGGTGGAGGACCAGCAGGAGGTGGAGACCAGCAGGAGGGAGGTGGGGAGGACCAGCAGGAGGAGGTGGAGGACCAGCAGGAGGGAGAGGTGGGGACCAGCAGGAGGGAGGTGGGGGACCAGCAGGAGGGAGGAGGTGGGGACCGCAGGAGAGGGGGGACCAGCAGGAGGGGAGGTGGAGACCAGCAGGAGGGAGGTGGAGGACCAGCAGGAGGGAGGTAGGAGACCAGCAGGAGGGAGGTGGAGACCAGCAGGAGGGAGGTGGAGGACCAGCAGGAGGGAGGTGGAGGACCAGCAGGAGGAGGTGGGGGACCAGCAGGAGGAGGTGGAGGACCAGCAGGGAGGAGGTGGGGACCAGCAGGAGGGAGGTGGGGGACCAGCAGGAGGGAGGTGGAGACCAGCAGGAGGGAGGTGGGGACCAGCAGGAGGGGAGGTGGGGGGACCAGCAGGAGGGAGGTGGGGACCAGCAGGAGGGAGGTGGAGACCAGCAGGAGGGAGGTGGAGGACCAGCAGGGAGGGAGGTGGGGAGGACCAGCAGGAGGGAGGTGGAGGACCAGCAGGAGGGAGGGAGGACCAGCGGAGGGAGGTGGAGGACCAGCAGGAGAGAGGGGTGGAGGACCAGCAGGAGGGAGGTGGGGACCAGCAGGAGGGAGGTGGGGGACCAGCAGGAGGGAGGTGGGAGGACCAGCAGGAGGAGGTGGGGACCAGCAGGAGGGAGGGAGGGACCAGCAGGAGAGGTGGAGGACCAGCAGGAGGAGGTGGAGGACCAGCAGGAGGAGCAGCAGGAGGGGGGAGGACCAGCAGGAGGAGGTGGGGAGGGAGGGGGGGGGGACCAGCAGGGGAGGGAGCAGGAGAGGGGAGGACAGCAGGAGGGAGGTGGAGGACCAGCAGGAGGGGTGGAGGCAGCAGGAGGAGGCAGGAGAGGGAGGACCAGCAGGAGAGGAGGTGGGAGGACCAGCAGGAGGAGGTGGAGGACCAGCAGGAGGGGAGGTGGAGGACCAGCAGGAGAGGTGAGGACCAGCAGGAGGGAGGTGGAGGGGGGGGGCAGGAGGGGAGGACCAGCAGAGGGGGTGGAGGACAGCAGAGGGAGGGGGAGGACCAGCAGGAGGAGGTGGAGGACCAGCAGGAGGGAGGGGTGGAGGAGGGGACCAGCAGGAGGGAGGGGGACCAGCAGGAGGGGGGTGGAGGACCAAGGAGGGGGGAGGAAGCAGGAGGGGTGGGGGGGGGGGGGGGGAGGGGTGGGGGAGGAGGGAGGGGGGGACCAGCGGAGGGAGGTGGAGACCAGCAGGGGGGGGGAGCAGGGAGGAGGAGGGAGGGGGACCAGCAGGAGGGAGGTGGG